CACGCGCCGCTCCATGGCGGCGGCGGCGGCGCGCGGGGCACCACGGGAGCGGTAGTTCCGGCCCGGCGGGACCCCCCGCGAGCATCCCAGCGTCTCCTAGGAGACGGCGCGGTGCGCAAAGCATCCTGGGAGTCGTAGTGCGCGACGCACTCCCCTCCGCGCCGGCTCCCCTAGAGGGGACTCCATGTCCCGGCATGCTCCGCCAGCCCAGTCCAGCCGGGGTCTCCTCGCTGTTCCCGGCCCTCTGCCCGCCCCCGTCACACCGCCAGGGATTAGGCGTATTTTCCTGTCCTCACACTCTGTGGGAAAGCCCCACCTGTCCCTGTGGATGGGCGCTGCTCGCTGAAACAGTGAGGCCTCGGTGCTGGCATTCCTTTCTCCTTCCCCCTGTGAAAGTACACGTTCTTTGCAGATTCCATATTCCCTAAATGCACTTGCCATACTGGAGACCAAGCCTCAGATTTGGATATCCTTACTCTAATCTTCATAGCCGCTTATCACAATCTTTATTGTACCTGTGCAATGCTCTCCAGCCTGTCATCCTGGGGTTTATGAAGTTCAGGAACCAAATGTGCAAGTTCTTGTGCACAGAACTACCTCAGATATGCAAATTCACTGCTTTGTGGAGTTTCCTTATATCTCCCAGTACCCCAAGAGTTCCTCCTTATTGTATCCATGCCTTCTGTATTGGGAGGGCAGAAAGATGCCATCAGCCATGTTTGTTATGGTTTGTTCTTTCCAGATCTCCCTGTATTTCCAGCTTGTGAAGTGGAACCAGACCACTAACTATGTTCTTTCTTGAACTAAATTGTAAGTAATCCTCATACAAAATCTGTTTCTGCCCATCCGCTCATATCACTGACTATCTCACTCTGTGAATTGACTAAAACAGGAGGAAGAGCTCCAGCAGGAGCAGAACCATAAGCTAGGAAGTAGTGAAAGTAAAGGCAGTGGCACCAAAGCACTGATAGCTACAGGAGCCTCTTACGCAGATCACTTCTTGTCTAGGTTTCTGAAGTCCTGCTGAAGAAACAGCAGGCTGAGTGTAGCCTGGCACAAGGTTGCTCCATCTCCCCGCTCAACAAGTTAGCAGAAAGAGATGGATACAAGGCAGAAAGGGCTTTGCATCTTTGATGCTGGAAATAAGAGGGTTTTGCCTAAGTTAGTATGTTGTATGTGCAGCTCCCTTCTTTTTCTCAGTTGTTCTGAGTTTTTTTCTGAAGGGTTTAATGATGTTGGATCATCATGCTGGATGCTAATGGTGCTGGATCAGAGGTAGCCTCTGGAAAACACTGGGAAGTGGTCATCCCCTCTCTCTCAGGTGCTAGATCTGCTGAGCAATCACAAAGTTCAGTCTAATGGAGCACAGTCTTACAGTTTGTACAAACTCAGGATGAAAGTGTGGAGCACTTGAGAGACTGGGCCACATCAGGTGGAGGGGATGCTCCTTCAGGGAATTTGGGGATGCCCAGGCCCACATGTGCCACATACACTGCAGGAGCAAGTGCAGCTCCTGGGTTTCAAGTGGAGCAGCTGCCTGGGAGCTGCAGGAATGTGTCACAGGAGGGTGCTGCTGGCTGGTGGCTGCTCAGAGCTCTGCAGGACAGCTATTGCTGTGGAAATTGCTTCCACAGGCACTGGATTGGCAAGCTCAGAGATGCTGGGGACTGACCTTTCATCCTGCTGTTCTCTTCTGCCAGCTATCCTTTGTACCTGCCTGTGGAGCACAGTTCATTTCCATGTGTAGATCCAGTGTTACTGATACAGAAGGTAACAGATTTGCCAGCTTTCTGAGGTGGGCTCTTCCATTTAAATCCTGAACTGGCAAAGCTTGAGGCAGGTATGACATAAATGTCTGCCCTTTCCTGGAGCTGATCTCTGGCTAGGTGCAGGCAGGGTGTTGTTCAGTCTTTCTGAGGCAGCTCATGAAGGGGGTGACCCACAGGGAAGGGGTGACATCACTGGGCCTGCCAGAGTTCATTTGGACAATGCACAGGTGATTTTTGGGGTTGTCCTATGCAGAGCCAGGAGTCGGGCTCGACAATCCTTGTGGGTCACTTCCAAGACAGGATGTTCTCTGATTGTAAATGGCAGCTTCTGTTACTGAGACGTTTGTATCCTGAGGGTTGGCATCATCTGCTCATTCCACGTGGGCGTGGAGAACGGGTACCTGCTGTTCCCTTCACAGCTGTCCTTGGAGCTGTTCCCTGAGCCACCTCATCTGCCTTGTTTAATCAGGAGTGTTGCTGTGTCCTACCCAGGCCCTCTGTCAGGGCAGTCTCCTCGTTGCTATTTGGACAATACTTTCCTCACATTTTACTGCAATGACTGAAATAATTGGTGCTATTAAGAAGGGGTGCTCATTTGAAATGCCTGAGCTCTAATTGCTTCCCAGTTTCCCCATCTCTCACATTCCTTTCTCCCCAGGCTCAGCTGCTGGGAGCTGGCTTTGTTTGTGCCTCAAACCTCTGCTAGCTTGGCCCTTGCTCTCCCCCACCCCTACCATGGGCTCTGACCTGCTCCCTGGAGAGTCATGAGTGACATCTCAGCTTCCTTGTTGAAGATCCTTAGATCTTTTTGGCTCTGTTTCCTTATACCCTCTGTCCAGCCCCAGCTGCCCTCGGACAGCTGCCAGATGTCTGAACTGTCACAGGTCTGGCTGAGAATTCATGTCACTGTTTCCAGCATTCTCTCCCCACAACAGCTTTGTGCTACAGTAAAACATCCAGAGAATATGGTTCACTTCCCTGGGGGAAGGCAGCAGTATGTCTGTGAGGTGTCTGTGTCCCAGGTATGGCTTTGTGGTTTTTTCTATTATTAGGAAAAACAGCACTCTCATTCATCCTCCTCGGACTAATGCTGATATCATGTGGGATACAGTGTCATCTGGTGTCATCATGAAGCATTTCTACAAAAAAGGATCATTAGTTCTCATTGTTCTCCTCAACAGTAAATGACAAAGACACAATGTTGTACTGATTGTAACAGAAGGGATTTTCCTTCTGCTTTCCATCCACAGATCTTGAAACCTTTTTCTGATCCTGGTAAAGAACAATTGCTCTGCATTAGGTAGGAACCTGATGTGTGAGAGAGAGATTCACACAAATTATTTGGACAATCAGGGCAATTTGATAACTGAAATGGAGTTAAAGGACATCTTAATTCCTTGTCTGTTTTCCTGATCTTTCTAGCTCTTGACCACAAGCATATAAATGTCTGTTTTTATTAGTGGGAAAGGATTGTTGAGCACTGAGTCTGGAGGTTAATGTAGATTCATTATTAGTTTTTTTTGATAAAAAATATTGTATCAACTTGATGAGATGTTTTCAATAATGAAACTTCATTGCAGTCCTCCTATAATTAAATATTGATTTCCTATTTCTTTCTATAGAAGCCTAATGCCTTCCCTTCTATGTCACTGTCCCACCTGTTAAGCTCTGACTTCATGAGATGTTGTCTGTGCTGTCAACATCGGCTTAAAATGTTTCAATCTCTCTGCATTTTCCTGCCCTGGCCTCACAGCACATTGCCTCCCAAATTTCTGCTGCTGCAGTTGTTGATGTGCTGTAAATCTGATCAGGGAGCCGAGCTGGTTCTAACAAGTGCGTCATTGTTTGGGCTTTTTTGTTGGCTTTTTTTTTTCCCCCCTGAAGTGGTGTGGTTCACAGTGCTGCTGCAGGAAAAAATTGTGCTGGCACAACTGAGAGAACAATTTGATCAGGGCTAGGTGGGGAGGCAGAGGTTCTGCTGCCATTCATCTCTGAAAACACAACTGAATTGCTCAGCAGAGCTGCCTTCTGCTGCATGAGGCATGACTGCTGGAAACCCCATCAAAGTGGTGCCCACCCCATCCTCACCCCCAGTAACTGTTCCAGCAGGCATTGCTAAGTGTAAGGGACTGTCAGTGTTATCCTTCAATCAGATCTACAGTCTCTGATCTGAAAGATCAAGTGAAAAATCTCTTCTGGAAGGAAGTAAAATCCATGGCACCTGCAGGGAAAGAAGAGATCATAGGAATGATCTTACTCCGATGTGCTAACAGTATGGGATATGGTTTTCCAGCCTCTGGGTTAGAGATCTCGTGGTCAGCTCAGGTGTCCTGTTGTCCCTTTCCAACACAACCTGACCCCTGTATGGGAAGGGGTTGGCATTGCGACCGTGGCTTGGAGCAGAAATGAGGTGGCTGATTCCTCATGATTTAAACCTTAATGATGTGGAGCTGGCTGGAGCTGCTGGTGCCACAGGCAGGTGAAGTCCAATGCCTGAATATTTTTGCCAATATGTTTTCTTGCCTGTCATGGAACCTGTTTTCTGCTGCCTTGTGCCACTGCTTTTATCCATATAAGAATAAAAAAATGCTATTAAATCTGAATAACAGCAGTTTCTCCATATGTAACGGGTGTCACAAACAGTAGACAGAGGATACCTAGACTCAGTAAGTCTATCCTTGAACTTTTCTCCTCATCTGTTGCTTTTTTCATTTCTTTTAGAAAGAAGCAAGAACTTGCTGAGAGAGGCAGAGTAGTTTTCTCCATCTTTGGCTGAGGTTCCCACCCCAGACACTTCAGCTCTGACAAGCTTTCCAGTGCCATGGAGATTGAAGGTAAATGTGGCTGGATTCTGCACCTCAGGATCTTAAGAACCTGGAAGGGTTTTCTGCTGTGATGTGGATGACAAAGCTCTACTGTTCAGGGCATTCCAGAGGTCATACAGATGAGAGGCTCTTGCTGGGCCCAGTTTTACTGGCAGGGCTGAGTATTAGGAGCCTAAAGGCAGGAAGACAGTACAGTTTGGAGTAGTGGCCTAGCACTTGGGCCAGATTTAAAACTTAGTTCTGAGAGCAGTATTGCTATGCCAGGACAGAGGTAACATGTGTGTGCCTGTCTGTTCTTTCATCCTCCCTCCCCATGTAGTGTCAGGGTAATGAAAAGCTGCATGTGAGGGCCAATTATGATACTTATCACTTCCTCTGACAGTGCCAAGATACCATTTTTTAATGTGGCTCCATTTTTGTTTTGGTGCTGACACACAGCCAATGAAAAGGTGAAAATTGCTCACTTCAAGAAGGTTTGCCTCTCAGCCTCTCCATCCTTTTGGATTTATGCCTTGCTTTTAGGATATAAAACCCCCTTGTGTTTCCATTAACACTTAGCAGTAAAAGAAATTAGGAACAAAGGGCTAATGTTCCTTTAAAAGAAAAAAATCCATGCCCTACTTTAGTAAGATGCTTAAGATTCTTGTGAATGGAGGTTTTAAGGCATATTAAACTGCCCTGTGTACTGTTTTTCCAATTTACTAATCCTGCTGATTCAGACTTTACTAGCAAACCTGCTACAATTAATTGCTTTGTAGATGCAGTTGTAACATGTCAGGTTGCTGTTAGGGCAATGCCTGAAGAGCCTGCATGTCCCACCAAAGGGTTAAGCTTTTCTCCAACATTTATTCTGAGGCACATGCCAGGTGGGCACTCATATAGAGCTTCACTGATCAAATGTTAGAGCAAACCCCCTCACTTAATAATAAGCAGCTAGTTACCTGTTGCTGTACTATTGTAGCAAATATCCGTATATATTAGCATCAGAAACCCTGCAGGGGTTATTATGGCAGGGACACCCAGCAGCTGTTTTGGCAGCTTGCTGGTGTGGGACACTTGGAGCCATGGGCATCTGTTTTTATTTGAGCTCACACAGCTTGTGAGGATGCTTGCTGGTATTTCTGTTTCAGTGGGAGATAAATGAGGATGTTTTTAATAGGGTTTGAGACAATTGCAGACCACGCTGAACCAGCAGTGCTGGAGGGGATAGACATAGACTGCTGTTGTTCTCAGGTCTGGCACATGGGGTAAGAGGGCTAGGGAAGGTCTTTTAGTTTTGATTTTACACACATCTCCAGGCTGTGTTTTGAGCTGGCAGAAAGCAGTGCTGGAGAAGTGGCTAGAAATAGCTGGAGTGATGATTTCAGCAATGACCTGCCTGGGCTAGAGCTGCATGACCTCTAATGTTAACTAAGAGATGCACTCTTTACTGTCAGGAACAACTGAAAAATGGAAAGGATATTGGCTTCCCTGGGTGGGCAAATTCTTCTTGACTTGTTTGTTCCCTGGATTTTCCACAAGTGGAAGCTGTGAGGTGTAGGACCAACCCATGGGTGGCAACTCCAGGAAGGGAAACAGCCATTTTGAGAAGTCATTTACAGACTGCCAGTCCCACACTCTGTCAGAGACCTGAGCTGTTGTTTGCCATCTCATATCCCCTTGCTCAGACCTGCCCCTTCTACCCTTTCAACACCACACAGCGTGTTCTGCTCTTTCTCTGCAGGAGACAGACACTGGTGCAGGACCTGATTTGTGTTTTGTCATCCAGATTTGGCAGCAACCAGCTGGCTTGCAGAGGAAGAGATGCTGTGGTGCTTGGCTGCAGTGGGGATTCCTCCAAGGTCAGAGAATTCCTAGCTGCAGTCCTCTGTTTCAGCCCTCTCCCATGGGATGGGATATATGATCCTGTCCTTTGAGCTCTCACTTGGTGGACCAGAACAAATTGAGAGAATTTGGTGTGTTTTCTCTACTAATGCTTTCAAATGTTTAGATTTTTCTCCCAGCTATACTGTAAGTTTTGAGTTATGTTGGATTGTGCTTACACTGTTGACTATCTAAAGCTCCGGGGTGTAGAGCTGAGCTTGGATTGTTCCTTTTAGGGAGACTATGCACAGCAAGAACAGAACAGATATAGAATGACCATGGATTTACCCTGTTAAGACCCAGTCTGGAGCAGCTGACTTGACAAGTGCTGGTAAATTGCTTCCTCTTGTGTGGCACAAAACAGGTGGAGAAATCTTGTTATTTGAACAGAAAATTCCATGACGCTCATAAAGGGGAGGTTGCTGGCTTGTTTTATGAGAATAGAGTGCCACAGTGGCAGAAAAGGGCCCTGTAAAATTTCCTTATGTGGTTTGACTTTTTTATTCCATTTCCCTCTGAGATAACTTAATTTTATAATTGCTGCCTGTTGAAGGAGAAGGGAAGAGGTGAATGAATGACACCAGCTTAGGCTCTGTAAAATAAAGGGAGCTCTTTTCCCACTGCTTCTCTAAACCTTTTGTGAAAACAGGTTCCCTTTCTGCTAGACAGCCACAAATAGTTTTGTCCACAGTTGCCTTCCACCTAAAAATATTGAGATCCTTTTGAAAAAGTGGGCAAAATTTCTCATCCTGCCCCTAAGGATGAGAAGGGAAATTGAAGCAATGATCATGTTAGCTGTGTTTATCTGCCTGTGTGATCAGAAGGCATAGCCAGGACTAGCACAAAGAAACATTTTGCTAATTTTGCAGCTGTCCCTAATAAAACTCTTCTCAGTTAGAATCAAATGAGGGTCAAAATCTGGCTGAAGGTCATGTTCAAGAACCCATGAATCTTGTCTTGTTCCAAGCAGAACCTACAATTCAGCATCGAAAGCTTCAGGAGTCTGGACACAACAGCAAATTTTTAAGAAAATACTGAACAGGGCTGACTGATCATCTCTCCTCCTACTGGTCCCAAGAAAGACCAGTGAAAGGAAACACTCTAATGATTGTGAGAGTCATCCTGTGGCAATTGATGTGTACTTCTGAAAGAGAGAGGATTAAAATGGGAGGAGAGAAGTTACCCTGCGGGAGATTGTCAACAGATGTTGCATTGTAGTTCAAAGAGAGCTAGCAAAAGGCTTCTGCTCCAGGGATATATTAATTCTGGGCAGTTCATCACAGGGAGACCTGTTTTATTACTGGGAGGATACCTCTGGTAACTTACTTAGCTCTTTATTTGAACTGTGGGTGGAGAATCTGGTCTACCTGTAAACAGAGAGGGAGCTGAACGGTAGGAACAAACATGTACTTGTTTTCTTGCAGCTGTGACCACTGTCATTCTGATCAAGATCAAGCTGGTTTTGTGGTTCAGGGGGTTATTTGATGGATCATTGAATAGAAAAAATATTACAGAGGAACTGAGGCTAACCCTTGTAAAACTGCTGGGGCATGTGAAGCAGACCTGTGTTGAGTACATCTCTCAAGTACACTTATTGGACAAGAAGTGGGAGCAAGCACAAGGAAGACTGTGCAGGCTGTCAAGCAAATAAATGAATTTATCCCTTTGTATTTAAAATGCACAAGATTATCAACCTATCTATGCATCCTTCATGTAGCAGTTAATGATTTTTTATAAAATCTTACTAATATTGCAGAATTAACTATGGTGGGGGACCTAGTTCACAGGCTCTCTATCAACAGATGTAATAAGAAGGTCCTCTTCTAGGAGCTTCTAAGTGCTTTATCTTCTGACATTGTTTTGAAGTACTCTGGATGAAGGTTGATTTTTTTTCAGATCTGTGAGGAAACATGACCCCTGTAGCATTAAAGTGAGGAAGAGTTTTCATTCAAATGTGTTTGAATGGGGAAGTTTGAAGCCCATTGTTACGTTACAAAGTTCTGGGAGATTAAAACAAACCAAACCACAAATGATTTTGGGAAACTGCTGGGAGACTTTTATATTTGCAGTCATTGTCCTCCAGCTTTGCTTGTCACTTCAGTATGTATCAGTAGGACTGAAAATTTGGCTGTTTTATGGACAGTAAGTACATGTAAGTGGTTTCTTTTTTCTTTGTGGAGGATGGAAAGGAATAATGGAAATAAGATTCCTGTCTCACTTTCTGCTGTGCAGTGAAGCAGAGGTAGCCACTACATGAACATCACAGGCAGAGGCTCAGGAGCTACACTTAAAAAAACTGTTCCCCTCCGTCCACGACAAATCCACATTTATATTGATTTTATGTAGTTATAGAAAATTAAATATAAATAATGTGGAGGTATGCAGCCTCCTGTTTCCTTCACAGGTGTCTGGGAAATTACAGTGGGCATTTCTGTTCTTTCCTGGGTGTAACAAGAACACTGGCTAGTAAAATCTTCCAGGTTCTGCATCACTTCGTAGCTTTCATTACTGAAAATTTACTGCTCTGCCTCCCTGGCTTGCTACTGGATCAGTGAAATGCCTTTTTCATTCTGCTTTAAGTGGTAGAAAGCACAGGGGACTATTATCCATGGGAAATTCTTATGGGATGACTGGTCTTACAAGACCCACACACTGACCTGTCCACTCCAGTGCTCCTCATGGTAGTTTCTCTGTGTCTGAACACCCTCTGTAGCCTTATTTACAGACTTGCAGTGTGTGACATGATGGTTAAATACAGCATCTAAAGCTAAAATACAAGCACTGAGACATGAAGGACAACTGAGTGGGCAGAGAAATGGAATGAAGCACAGGTAGCCCTGCCCATAGCACAGCAGCTTTAGGACTGTCATTTTTCAGCTTCCTAAATCCCCTTCCCTTCAAAATATGAGTCTGGAGAGAGGAGGAGGGAAGGACAGAGGAGGCAGATGGGTCTCAAACTCTGGTTTTCTTTTACCTGTGCTTTTTTCCTTTCTATTTAACTTTAAGCCCAAGGGATTCAGTTGATTCTTGGTCCCTTGCTAATTAGTAACATAATCATGCCTTAGCCTAAGAGGCATTAAAACTAAACCTCATCAGAGGCAACAGCTATGTTCAAGGAGAAATGCAGAAGTTGGCAGCAGCTGGTTCCTGGTTCTGTCAGTTCTCTTTGCTGTACAGGAAAGGTGAAGCCCACACAACTGGCCCATGGTCCCACCTCAGAGGCTGCATCATCTGGCTGGAAGGTCAGAACTCGGCTGGGCAGAGGCACAAAGCTTTGTGTGTCCCAGGGGTGCCTGCCTGCACAAGCCTGTCCTGCTGCTGCCTCTCCAGCTAACACAGCCCTGCTCCGAGCTACCTCTCCAAAAAGGCAGCTGAGCAGTTTGTTCTGCAGATAATGAATCAGCTCTGAGTGGGTATGGTAGTAAAAAGGCAGAGCAGAGAACACTCCAATATAAACCACCAAAATAATGCTGACTTTAGACCTGAGAAGACTGGCTTAGTTGTGGCATGTTTGTTCTGTTTTGTATGGTTGTGTGTTGGGACAGAACTGAAATCTCTGAGGGGTTTAGAGTTCACCCTCATGTCTTCAGATTACTCAGCAAGCACTTTGCTTGGCTACAAAGTCTTTGTTTGTTCTCCCCTTCCTCTAGATCTTCCAAGGATTTGCTTTTCTAGATTTGTTGTGGGAACTCTTTAGAAAACAGCATAAGCCAAATTACCAAGCAATTTTGCTTTTGCAAGAGAAAATCTTTAATACACGAAATCTATGACATGAGCTGACTGATTTTGCCAAAGTATTTTAACAGCTAGGAGAGACTCTTAGCTCAGGAGAGTCTCTTACCAGATCTGTAGCAGAGGCTGGGCTTTTGAGCACTTACCTCCCTGCAGGTCTGAGCTCTGAAGGAAAGAGCTCAAAACAGCTATAAAAAAAAAAAAAAAAGATGTGCCTTTCAGTTTGCTTTGTCTGCTGTACTATAGAAAGAAGCATAACAGATGATGCTTTGTAGGTTTGGATTAGGCTGGCTTTCAGGCAATTTCTGTAAATAAGGTTTGGGGTTACAGCTGACAACATGAGGCAGAGGCAAAAGAAGGGAATCTAAAGGTGTAGATTAGATTTTTTGGTCTAGTGTGTTTCTCTAAGACAGATTTCATCTGATTTAACTGTACACAAATTTATCTTGGTTGACCCAGACCAGGAATGACCCTGACAAGAAGGAACACAGGCAGGGGGTGGTGTCCTCCTGAACTGTCAGAGCTATGGTTCATAGCTGTCTGGCATTTTTTAGTTATCATCTCTGTGACTCTTTGTGCCCCAAACTGCTGCTGTTTATCTATCACAAGATTCATTGTGATATATAAAAGCTTTTCAGTTAGATGTTTGCAATGAAAATATGAGGACCGTGACACTTTTGGCATTTGTAACTTTATTGCAGAAAAAAAAAATCCACTATCAACATATTTTACAAACAAAGTTGCACTTTGGTGTTGGGCGAGTTTTCCTCCTCATCCCTTTCCCCTGGACAGTGATGCATGGGAAACCAGAACAACCAGCCCCTGCCCTTTTGATTGTGTGCAGACACACTTCCCAGATATGCCAGCCTGCACCAGTTCCAGCCAGGATGGAGTTCTGTTTTCCACCACTAACTTGCCAACTTTGTGCCGAAAACCAGTAGCACCCTGCCCTCCGGCAGGGGAAACAAGTCTGTAGCTAGGGAGATTGCTCTGTGCAGACAAGGCTTGATACAAAAGCTTTGGAGTTGTGACAATTGCTCTTTAGTTCTCATGCAATCACAGGAGAGAACCAGCCCTCCTCCCTATTTTACTGGGCATCAATGCACAGATGGAAGGCCAAAGCCAACAGCAGAACTTCTGCTTCCAGCCACTCTGGAAGCAGCAACACAGGGAGGAAGACCTGCTGCCATATCCAGTTCATCTATTTGGCTCAAACTGGTTCTGCTCTACCTCTGGGGTTTCCAGGTAAATTGAGCTCAGCTGATGGGGAAATTCCCCCTTCCCTGCTACAACCAGTAACAGCACTGGGAAAAAGAGGGTTCTTTTGCAAGTGAGGTCTGGTATCTGTCCTTTGTGGGGTTCAGTGATGCTGATATTGAAAGGAGAGGAGAAACTGAGGCTTGTAAGAGCAATGTGGCAGATAAACTCTAGCCCTTGCTGTATCCTGAGGGAGCAACTGGGTTAGTCAAAAATCAAACACTCTAGAGAAGGCATGTGTTTCCATTTACCTGCAGTCAAATGTGAGTTAGAAAACAGGAGCAGGTGTAATTACATGAAGACTCTCATGTCACACACACTCTGGTGTTTCTGAGGCAAGGGCACCAAAAGATCCTCTGATTTACACTCAGAGGCTCTGGTCTATGGGTTTCCTTGAGAGGCCTCAAGAGCCTTGGATGCAGTCTACAGCAGTGATATTTTGAGGCAAAAGTGCAGAATCTAATCAGCATAACACCAAGAAAGGGAAGGCACCTACATCCAGGATCTATCCTCATGACAAGACACCAACTGGCTCAAAAGACCAACATCAGAAAGTAGAGGAGCTTTGACTTTGCATAGCACAGGAGGGAGAGCGAAGTACCAGTTTTGTACAACAACTTCCAGCAACCAGATGCTAGAAGCAAAATGGGAGGTACCTGAGGAAAAGCTTGTGTTAGCCCAGGCAGGGAAATGGACTAGAGCATTTACTGAGCCTGGAAAAAGGAGTTTACACATATGCCAAAAGCATCAAGTGTAGGAGACACGGTTTCGTAATTTTGGAGAGACCAAATTAGTGTGTCTAATTGGCAATAAACTGAGTCCTATCAAGCTCAGTTAAGCTAACATTATGTTCATTTTCCTCCCAGCAACTTCAAAGCAACATCAAGTAGCAGGGGCACTTCTCCAGTGGCCACAAAACTGTTTTCCCTGGTTAAAGAGAAAAGGCATACATCTAGGAAGGAAGCAGAGTAGTCTTTTATCCTGGTAGGTGTTTCAGGACGGGTAATGCAAATCCTGGGACTAAAGCTGAAACAGGAACAAAAAAAGTGCAAGACAACCCCCAAAACAAATAACCTTAAAAATACAGAACAAGAGGGAGCCCAAGAGAACTGATTTCCACATCCTTGGCTTCCTCAGAAAACAGCAGTCTCCTTTGCTGCTACTGTGCTGACACCACCAGCGTTAAGAGCCCTAGTCTGGATCACTTGCCCACCTCCTTTGAAGGCAGCAGCCACCAAGATGAACAGAAGAGATCCATGCAGAACATCATGGCAAAGGTTGTCTTGGCTAATTGGTTGCCACACTAAAAGGAGGAGACACCTCTTCAGGGCATTGTTTTGAGGAAAGCCTGGAGAAAGGGGTCAGACTTGGGCTCTGATTCGCAGCATAAGAACTTCAACACTGAACTATTTAAAATGTCTAAAACCAAAAACCATCTGAAAAGGATCTTTCAGTTGTGTGCAAATCACAGCCCCTCATTGCTCAGGAGATCGTCTGGGACCAAGTCCTCAAGGCCTTTTCCTCTGGGCAGTGGACAGCCTGGTTGCCTAGTAGCTGTAGAGGGAGAGAGGGGTGTCCTCCATCATGTCATCCTAGAAGCAGAGAAGAGGGTGCTTTAATGAGATGTCTGCATGATGGCATCATGGTCCCAGCCTGGGAGACTGCTGTGCAGTCAGCACAACCTTCTCAGCCACGGTGTGGCTTCTCAGCCATCCACCTAAATGCTGCCACTGTGCAGTTCCTGGATCTCAGAATTGTCAGTCTCCCTCCTGCTGCAGCATTTGGAGAGAAGAGGTGTGTGCAGGAACTGCCTGGCTGCTGCAGGGATGTGGAAAACTCTGGCTGTTGAAAACTCCACTCAGCTTGAAACAGCACCAGCTTGCTTGCTAGCTGTGGTACTCCTCTATCCCAAAACATTCAGGGAGTTATTTGCAGCTTCCCCAGAGCTAGTCCAGCCTCATAGATTTTTGTATTCCCAAAGGGTCAAACACAGACAGACAGACAGACAAACAGTCAACCTCCCTGAAACAGAGCATAAAATCTGCTTTGTCATAGTTACAAAGCAAATATATCAGAAAACAGGAGGAGAGGTTAGGAAGGTGTCATTTCAGGACAAGCCTGGATGGAGCTCTCCTTCCTCTCTCTAACCTCTCAGCATTCCCCTGCAGAGTGAGGGGAAGGCAGAGAGCTTCTTTAGTACCCAGCCTTGAGACTTGCTGTCTTGATTCAAACCTTGGATGGAAGGAGAGGGACCTAAGGAGGAACAGGAGTGTGTGATCAGCATTGGTGCTGCTGCAAATACCCAAAGCATTGCTAATGTAGTAGAGGGAGAACTGCAAAGCAGCCAGTGGCAAGCCAGCCCACATCAGGCTGGGCTGGAGGCACGACTCACCATGGGCAGGTCCTGCAGGCGCCGGAACTCCATGCGGTTGTTGTGCTGGCGGTATCGCAGGAAGCCCACCAGGCCCAGGATGCCCACCATGACAATGAAGACAGAGATCACAGTGATTACCAAGGGATCAGCCCTCGTTTTACCAGCCAAATTGGGTAGCTCTGTAAGGAGAACCAAGGGAATGAGACCAAAGAAGAGCCTTCAAGAGCTGGAACAGCAAAGCTTTGTCTTTTCTGGTTGTCCTCAGTACAACCAAGAGGCAGTTTGAGGTAGCTCCAGCCCTTTGCCATGTTTTGTGAGAACAGCTACAAAACAATTACAGAAACTATTCGGCTGGAAAAGATCTCTGTGATTATCAGTCCAATGTATGACTTAACACCACCTTGTCAACTAGACCATGGCATTGAGTACCATGTCCAGTCTTTCCTTAAACACATCCAGGGACGGTGACCCCATCTCCCTGGGCAGCCCTTTAAAAGCAGAGAATTTACCTGAGTTGTCATCGTCACCAACATCCAACACAGAAGTCTTCTCATGCCTGTGCTCCAATGACTGTGCCAGTGTAGGTGTGCTGGTGGGGATGGCAGCTGTGCTGGCAGAGGTGGAGCTGGTCACGAGAGGTGTCACCGGCAAAGTCCTGGAGGCAGTAGCGATGGACGTGCTCCCTGCAGTGGAGAAGGGAGCAGAGGACGTTCTGGGCCCCACAGTGCTCTCCTCTGTGGCACCCACAGGGCTCGTTCCTGGCTTGGTTTCAGACCTTGCTTCTGTGGGCCTCAGGGTTTGCCCATCAAAAAGCCCTGACTGAGAGCTGTTAGTTGATGCTGCAAAATAGGAACAAGAAGTTATTTCAAAGTATCCAGTGCAAACACACTGTTCTGTGGGACTGGGCAAGATGGAAGCAAGACTGTAAGGAAGATTGCTGGGACTATTGGAATAGCAGCTTATTGTAAATCCTTTGGAAAACAAGCAGAACCTTTAGCACAGCTACAGCTGAGTCACACTATAACCCACAGTGCTTAGAAAGTCCTCTCAATTTTCATATGTGCCAATCTGCAGTGTCAGCCAACCTCAGCTGGGCTCACAAGGCCTGTCCCTGGGGACAAAGGGCAAGCAGACAAGCTTAAACAACTCTACACAGAGCTTGGGATCACCCCAGAGCAAGACACTGGGAAAGGCCTCTCATCCCTCCTTACAGGGAGCACAGAGGGGGCTGCCCAGGGACTGGGTAACAGAATCCCCTGAGGCTGTGTCCGTGTGTCGCAGAACAGCAGGACAAACGAGGGAACACAATGCAGTTGTGCATGTACACCATGCAAATCAGTGATCAATCAGTATCTGCCTTGCATTGGAGGTGTGTGACAGCCTGGCAGGCCCCAAAATGAGCAAAATTTGGATTGAAGACCCTATAGCCAGTCCCCATGCTGCCCAGAGGGATCTGAAGGAAGGGTTGGGTTCCCTGTGTTTGCACAGGAATGGATGAGCTGTCACTTGTGCTTGCCCATCTCCATGTTTTGTGTTAAGGGAGGGCATGCTTCTCCAGGGAGGCTCCCACTGAGCCCCCAGCCCTGATGTCAGAAAGGCCCAGCTGGGCAGTGCTGCTAAGCCATGTTGTTTCAGATTAGGTTTATGAAGGATGTCCCCACACACAATCAGTGTCCTGATCAGAAAGCAGCCAGCACTATTAATACCAAAATTAATGAGGTTTGCAAAGAGGATGCTGCACCAACATCTCTGCAAATAAGTTGCACTGAATTGGCTCTGCTTAGTGTTTCATTCCCTTCTTCCCCCTCTCCCCAGTTACCAGGAAAGTGCTCAGACATTTCGAGGTTGCGCATCCTTGAGGCAGGACTTTGTACACAGGAAGAAAAGGCAAAACCTCACCAGGCACAGTGTTCAGAGGAGGCGTGGGGGTTGCACTGCTGGCATCATCCGGTTCTTCAGTTGTGCTGAAAGGTTCTGTGGCTTCATGGCTGGTCTGGTTTTCTTCCAGAGTGCTGGCAGTCAAGGTAGGGGAGGGGATTTCAGTGCTGCTGTTGACTGACAAGCTCATGTTGCCACGCTCAGGGTGTGTAACTGTGATGTCCCCAGGACGGGCAGTGGTAGAAGCCTGCAGTCTCTCTGGCTTGGAGCCTGCCATGAGGGTGGTGGGGATGAAGGCACCATCCACCTCTGTAGCGTGGGCACCAGTGGCACTGAGTGTTGCAGCGGTCAAGTTTTTCTCCAGGCTTGTCTGAGGAATGGCAGTGATCACTGGACTGAAGTCAGAGGCTTCCCTTGGCTGATGCGAGGTTAGAGCTGTGCTAGGAAAAGGTGATGGTGACACCAAGGCCTCTGCTCTCTCCTGACCCTCTGCTATGGAACAGAGAAGTTTGTCAGAGATCCCACAGTGAGAGGAGAAACAGAGGGGAAGGACAGAAATGGAACTTCTTTATGCCCTTAATTCCAATTCCAGCACAGGCTCACACTTGGGAAAGGGATTCAAATAGCTCCTCCGTCCTCCTGGATTTTGAGGCAGAGACCTGTTCTAGGGGACTTTTCCTTTACCCTTCTCTCCCTCAAGTCCTGTTCTGTTGTTCTCTAGGGTCAGCACCACCAATCCCTCTATCCTTGAGCAACTTTTAAATTTTTTTAGAGGATCTGGGTTTGTTAAAAGTATCACCTGAGACCTGCTTCTGTAAGAAATTTAGATAAGTCTTCTTCGGTTCATTGAGAAAGAGTCAAAAGTGGTGCTGAAAAAACACAAATGAGGAAAATGTGGGATTCTGCTGGAGAGAAAGGTGAAATGGGTAGCAAGAACACTACAGCAAACAGGGTTGGGGCGTGCTTTGGGAGCTGCCTTTGTGAACTATCTATGAAGACATCACCACCATGAAGTGAAACTGTTGTCATAGAAATGGGGAGTTACTCAGGCTCTCACTACACCAAAAAGTGGCAGCTTCCCTGAAAGGAACCTGCAGCAAGCAAGGATCCCCCCAGATCCACAGCTGCTAGACAATGTGACAGCATACAGGAGAAAGAAAACCACAAAGCTTACACTGCCTGTTCATAAACACAGATCCTGTGAGGCTTTTTCAGGGTAAAAACAGGAAGAAAACAGAGAAATGTAGCCGCATCAGGATGGACTCTTCAATTTAAAAACATCTCATAGTCAATATTTTGACAATTTCTGTTGAAGTTTCTATCCAAGCCACAGAGGACTGATGAGCTAATTACAGAAAAAAAAATAAAGGTACTGAAGCAAATCCATCATCACGCCCCTTCTCTCCACAGAGAAGAAACATCTAAAGCAGATGCTATCAGTAAGAAACATTCATCTACCAGCAGCCCATTCTTACACTGTTTTGGGGAAATTTCAGCAATTTTTGAAAGCTCTTCAGAATAGATAGTTATCAGAGCTCTTCTCCAGCTACAGCACTTAACAGGCCCTAAAAAAAGACACAATACATTGCCCTCTCAAGACCTTTGCAGTACCCCGACCAGCTGGAGAATTCAAAACCCTGGAGCAGCCTGATGGAGCTGTGCTTCCCCGGCCCAGGGCCCCAGTCCCAGGAGGGCTCCCACAGCGATGCACAGCACTGCTCTGCACATTCAGAGAAGTTCTCACAGGGAACTCCAGCTGGAGCAACTTAAACATGAAGACCAAAAGCCTAAGTGATGCTCCCTTTGGCCTTTCCTGGATCCAGATGTGCATGGCCAGAAGATGCCTCCAAATAAAGCGAGCCACTCTGCCATGGAGCTGTAGGATACACCAGTAACACCTGGAAGGAAAAGAGCTGAGGGCTGGGTTTCCTAGGACCAGGCACCACAAGGCACAGCTCTTCATGTAACCATTTCCAGCCCTAAACGCAGCACTGCTATTCAGCACAGGGTGGGATCCCACCAGCTCCGGGTGCTGGCTGGGCACTGGCGGATGCTTGCTCAGTAAACACCCAACTACCTGCTCCCACACAGCCAGAGACACAGAGCCCTGCTGTCACCCTGGGGTAAACAGGAAAGGTGGTGGCCAGGTGCCCGGCCAGTGGCAAACATGGCTATGTGCTGCTCTGAATAGCTGGCCTGTGCCCGAACAGCCTCTCATGGGGTGGCAAGTCATGTCTTGAGTCATGCAGAAGAAAGATTTGTGGAGAGCTGTCTTGCACAAAGGCCTGAGCAACTTTGAAACCAGTTTCTGACTAGAAAAGTGATAGGAGAAATGGGTGCTAATGTCTTTACAAGCAGCTCGATGGGTGAGGGTCATTAGGAGAAATGGGTCTTAATGTCTCTACCAACCTCAAGCTGCAAAATTCGTTGCAGAACCCAGTTTGGTTAGTTTGAACTCCTGAAGATAAAGGTGATAGACAAATGGGACCGTATACAAAGTCTATTGCAGATCCCAGACAGTCTGAACTTCTGGCGGATCTGCAGAACCCAAATAGCCTGAACTTCTGAACTTTGCGGGGAAAATGGGTGATTTTATGCACAAAAAGAAAGTCAGAACCCTACACGCCAGGACATCTCCCCGCATCCAGGAACTGGCATCCCTGCCACGAGGTGCTGTGGGACAGAACTGCTGCTTTTGGGCACAAGCAGCTACCCCCACCCCGCTGCACGATCAGCTTCTTGCTGTCTGCAAAAAGGAGAGCTAATGGGACTGGCATTTCCCTATACTCTTCTGATCACCAGGGGACAGGCAGACAAAAGATTCCCATCACCCATCTGTCAGCCCCTAAGGGGTAAGGGCCCATCCAAAGCCATCACATAGTCATCAAGCAAAGCTTGCCTGGGGAAATGACCCAGAGGTGCAACTTGTTCCTCGGGAGCTGCAGGTGTTAAAAGGTACAAGCCCTGAATTTTGCTTCAGTTTAGTTTAAAATAAAAACACCCCTCCAAAGGGCATTGCTGCAATGCCACAGCTTTGTTTGCCAGTTTTATCATCCATCCAAAAGGGCCAGGCGAATGAAACCCGGGGCAAACCCTGTGGTACAGAGGGGAGAGCAGTTGTCAGCAGTGCTGGGGGAGACCCAGCAAACCCCCACGGGCTCGGATTCTCAGGGATCCAGCTCCAGGCCTGCTCTGGAGCTTGGTACCCAACAGGTCAGAAAATCCCCAGCAGTTGTTGCTGCCCCAGTCACCGGGTGCTGATGGTTTTAGCTCTTCATTGGTTTCCTATAGAGATGCAGGTCAGAGCTCGTTCCTCTGGCGTCTTCCTGGAGAAGCTCTGCTTCCTGCACCACATGCCAGGAAAGCCATGGCTGTACTGCCTAAGGCATCGCCCTCACCAGCTTCAGGAGACAAGAGGGAACCATGTCCTCTTGTTTCAGATGCAAGTGGAAAGAGTGTGATTGCTTCACCTTTTCTGTGTTTCTCAAAGACCTGAGAGTTGCAGCATCCCAGTGCTGGTAAAGGTGCCTCACCCTTGGATCCATAACAAAGCAGCTATGACCGTCGCAGGATCTGCGAGCAAGACCATAAGAATATCTATCTCTGTTTCCCGATAAGGGACCAAGGGTGAGCTTGCTTTGGTTACACTGAGGTGCCTGCTGAATCAGAGCTGGTCCCCTGCCCTGTGTCTGTGCTAACCCTCCAGGCTCAGCCTGTGCGTGGTGAGAACCAGAGATCCCAGACCACATTAGGGCAGGGCTGGTGGGTTTGGAGCAGCAGCTCCCACCAGACTGTGCTGACTGCAGTGACCTCTGTCTGGGAAATAAGAGGGGCAAAGGAAGAGAGTGGTCCCAGGGGAGGAGGGATGCAGCCAACCAAGAAGCAGCCCCTGCCTTGGACAAGGATGGAAAATACTCTGAGCTCCTTGGCGGAAGGGAGGCTCTGAACATCAGCCCACAGCTTCAACCTCTCTCCAGCGCTGTCTGACAACACTGATGGAACTCCACATATCAACCCAAGCTCCCACCAGCTCCAGAACAGATATGATGAAATTATGCCCTAACAGAGGAGTGAAGGAAGCCAGCTCTGCAGGAAATGGGGCCATTCCTACCTTGTGCTCCCTGCCCAAGATTCAGGGCTGGGGCCAAGTGAGGGGCTGAGAAAGGTTTGCACAAGCAGCACAGACTACTGTGCCAGAGTAGTCACACAGAGTGAGGACCATGGTCTCCATCCTCTGCCACAGCAACCACCCCACCATCTATTTACTTCTCAGAATAATGACATAGAGTAGGGCCTCAGCTGGACAAGCCCCTCAACAAGCTTGTGCCACAACCCTCCTGCCACTCTCAGCAGCATCCTCTGCACCCTCCTTCCTGTCAGACAGAAACAGCAGCCTGAGCTCCCCAAAGGTCAACACTAACCCAGCTCCAATCCATAGACCTGAACACTTTTTAAAATCCCTCTCAGGATGAGATGAAGGTGAGGAAGCCCATGGCAGGCTGGCTCCTGGAGACGGAGGGAGTGCAGGGCAGCAGGGTGCAGGCTGCAGCCACCACTGGAAAAAGTGCACAGAGACCCAGGTGAGAGCTAAGCACAAAGATGAGAAAAATTAATCCAGGATTTCAGAGAAAGTGCCTATGGGAGCAAGGACTCCCTGGTGTGGATGTATCCTCCTGCACAGGCTGTCACTGTCTGAGGATAGCACCTCACTTAAATCAGCTTCCTACAGAATGCGTGTCAGACCACTGCTCTGATTCATTGAAAAGGCACCCAAACCCTTCTACAATGCTATTTTGGTGCACTAAATTAATTCAATTTCCATTTAAGTGTAACAGTTCCATTCCCAAACAACCTAGTAACATGGAAAAATACCATGTTTAAAAAGTAGCAGCATAAACTGTAACTTGTATGTATCAAAGCAGTTATATCTTATTGCTCAGCAAACAACTTCATTAAATGTAGAAATTATCTTTTGTTGCCAGTTATTACATTTTATGGTTACCAACCAACTGTAATTAGACAATCTCTTAAAGGAAAAAAAGCTTGAGTGTAAAGGCAAATAAAACCATATAGTGGGATTTAAAACCAAGGCTCTTCATTTCATTTAAAAGCAGAACTGGAATAGCTCCCGATTAGATACTAGCTGGGCCTGATCTCTTTTCCTGGAATAAAAAAAACCAAAAAAAACCCCAAACAAGTGGCAGAAGAGATTTCTGGAGCCCTTCAGGAAGGTGCCAGATGCACCCAGGGATGCTGCTTAGCAAACATCCTCGTTGTGATGAAGCAAGTTTAGAGACAGGATCTGGTAAAAGGACCAACTGCTTGGTAAACTCAGCTCCAGTTGGATACCTTGCAGGACCTCTGTGGAGGCAGCGTGCCAGAGGGCTGCATTTGCCACAGGCTCCAGTGCTCTTCCTGCCAGGGCTGATGCCCAGACTGCCCCCATCCCCTTCCTGGCTCAGAGAGGCTGAAAAGATTCCCTTTGCTGCGAGGAGTCCAGGTGGGAGGTGTAGTCATGGCCTCGACTTTGTAGCCTGCCTGGGGACCACAGTGAAGCTCTTCATGGAAGCAGTTTAATTCATTGCACCCCTTGTGGCCTCTGTGAGCTGGTCTGCAGGCATCAATACTGGGGGTGCTGAAGTAGGGGTGCTGAGCACCCAGTTCAGCCCTGGGGAGCTGCCAGGCCAGGCACACTGCAAAGCAAGGCCTGACGTAGGGGACAGGAATAGAAACCACATCTCCTGACTGAGAAGGCAGGTGGCCACGAGCAGAGCACGAGACGGGGGCAGATAAGATATGGGGTGCTGAGCGAGTGTGGCACTGGGGAGGGACAGCCCAGCACCCAAACTGCCCAGGCAGGCAGGAAGATGCCTCGTCAGGGCATCTGTGGATACCGGGCGACAAGCTTGAAACATGGGGAAATAAAAAGGGGAGGCCAGTGCTACCACCTCGACAGATGGCACAGCGTTGGCAACCAGGACAACCAGCCAACCATGGCATGGCAGAGCAGCGCAGAGCAAGATGTGCAGGATCAGAGATGAGCAGACCTGGAAACAGAACTATAAATTCCAGACACAGGTACTTTGGTCCTAGGAAAACCCATAAAACAGCAGAGAAACAGCACAGCCCAGAGCACACAGCAGTGGGGCAGCACCAGCCCCATCACTACCTGCAGGAACAGGGTGATCCCAGGGTGTCAGGCTTTGCCTGGCCTTGCCACATGAGACCTTCCTCACCCAGCCAGGGGAGAGAAATGCAAAATCTTTCCTACAGGTCTGCAGGAAGCTCTATCACTGATCCCCCATTTAGAGGTGAGGGGGCTTATCCCAAATTTCTCTAGTGGGAAAAAGGGAGAGCAGGCTGCCTTGCTTAGCTACCACTGTCAGAGCAGCCAGATATTTTCCATGGGCCACATACAGCTCTGGAGCACCTAACTTGGCAGGAAGGTGCCTGGAAGACTCTCATGCTGTCTGGTTTTGTTCCTCAGTAGGTGAATGAGCAGTGGTGAAGACCCCTTTGCCCAGAAGCTGCTGGGCACACCCATGGCATGCAGAGCCTGGGAAGCCTGTCCTTCTCTGGGGTTGTGTAAACCCAGTAATACAGCAACAGCAGGGAAATCTGGCATCAGACAGCCCAGCCCTGCTTACCTCAGGAGTCACAGCTGCAGTGGAGGAAGCATTCACATAATTAGGAGAAATTAATAAGCCAGTTGCCTCAATAGCAGCCCCATGTCAGCAGGGAGCCTATTCTCCAATGCAGTGTGGCATGAAATGGGGGAAATTTGGACATCAGGAAGTCTGACCAGCCCTGAGCAGCCCCCAGGTCTTTCCATAGGTTGTGAGGCTTGGAGGATGCATCCTGCCCTGTCCTGGGCAGCTCTACAGGGCTGGATGTGACCCCAGACCTCAGTGGCACTGAGCCCTATGAAAGCTGCCCCAGAGAGCATTGTGATGATCACAGATCTATGGAAAACCCTGCACCAAGAACTCTGTCTGCCCACCCAGAGAGTCTTGGTGGAAAGGAAGGAGGGACTGGGGCTTCTGTGCTTTAGATCATCCCTGCTCCCCTTTGTCTGGAGGCATGGGGCCAAGGGAGCTGAAGGAGGTGAATGCTTTGCCCCTGCTCAGCAGGTCAAGCCTTCTTGGAAGGGCAGCAGGGAGACAAGGCCCACCCTTCCTCTGGGGCGGAGGAAAAAGTGTGTGTAGAAATTGAATAAAAGACTGATGGTATGACATGAAAGGTTGGGCCGGGAGTGCAGGGTCACACAGCTGGAGGAAACACCCAGAGGAGAGAATCAAGCTGTGGCTCAGTTCTGGGTGCAGCAGAGCTGGAGCTGTCCTGTCAGGGTGGGGCCAAGGCCATCCACTTGTCCTTGCCCTGGGCAAACAAAGGGAAAAAAATCACAAAAAATCAGCAGTGGGACCATGAAGCGGACACACTGCCCGCCTGTGCATGGCTCAGGTGGTGCTGACAGACAGGGCTTTATGTGCTCGTGCTGCTCCCACCTCTGTGCTGTTCTCTCTGCTTGCAAGGCAGCTCAGCACAGGAGGGAGAGGCAGAAAAATGCCCAGACCAAAATTACTCAGGGTTTTATTTGTAAGGCTGGTGCTGGAGGAAGTGGATTTCCGCAGGCAGTGAAGAAAGGCTGCATTGAGAGGCTGGGGTGGGCAGAGCACAGGAGACGCAGCAGCCTGGGCTCCCCTGTGGCCCTGCTGCAAACCCAGACGGGGAGTGGGAGCAGGCGCTGCTGGATAGCAGGAGCAAAGGGAATCTGTGCTGGGACCAGTGCAGAGAGCAGCTCATGGAGCTAGGACAAGCCCTGTTTTGGACAAATTTGTCTAGGCACTGCTGACTTTGGAGCCAATCTCTGGGTGAACCGTTCCTCTCCCCCACCACTGTCCTGCTGAGATTTTCTGGTGTCTCATTATGGGTTGTGCTTCCTATGGGACATTTTATTATTGGCAGCATCTCTTCCATCTATTTTCTATTTTTACAAAACATCTGCTCTTTCAACCACAATCGGTACTAGGTAGCAAATTCAAAAGCTATGAGGGCAAGGGCCAGGTCAGCTGCATAGGTATCATTTCCTGAGACTGTGAAGAATCTTGGATTGGGACACTAATCAACAAAGATCCCAGGAAAAACTCGGTGCAATCTTAATTTCTGGTACGTTCTGGCAGTTTGAGTCTTGGACTTTGCAGCAAGAAGGTTCCTATGAGCCAGCTGGGGCAAGGGGCTCCCTGGGGTTTCCCAGTGCGCCCAGAGTGTGAGACACGGGGCCAGAATAGGCAGCTCAGAGCTCCTCCTCCTCCTCCTCTCAGCGGTGGAAATCCTGAGTCCTTCCTTTGCCAGTGGCTGGTCACCTCCCCACACCCCACCACAGCACAACCACTCTCGTGTGGGGTGTGCAGCTTTGCCCACATAAAGGGCGCTGGTTTGGGATTGCTCCCAGTGCTCAGCCTCAAACCCAGCTAAACCGCATCCGGCACCCAAAACCTCATCCTGAGTTCTACTCTCACTGCTGGGGCTCAGTCCCACAGGCATCTGTTCTAGGGTTTTCCCAGCCCTAATCAGCTATTAGAAACTGAGTTTCTGTGTGTCACCCCCTGGTTTCCATTGCTGCCGTCATGGTGCTGGGATCTGACCGGGGTCTGGCCAAGGGTTTTTCTCAACCACAAAGAAGAAGAAACACGTTTTGCTTCCTGTGCCCGGGGCAAGTCCCTAAATGGCACGGAACCTTGGCCAGAGTCACGGGGAAGGTGACAGCCCCCCGACTCGGGGCATATGGCGAAGCTCGCCGGTGTCGGTGGACGGGGCTGTCAGCGCCACGCTGCAGACCGCGCCTGCCCGCGTGGGGATGTGAAGATCGTAGAGCAGCACCGAAATTCGGCCCAAGAGAGGCTGCTTGGGGCCGGGCTCTGGCTTCTGCTCCGTCCCGAATAGCTCCATGCGTCCTGCCTCTCTCCCCGCAGGCACAGGGCCCTCGTCCCGTCGTGCTGCGGGAGGCGGCAGAGTTCGGGCTTTGTCCGGGGTTCCCTCGGGGGGAAGCTCAGCCGCAGCTCGTAGGCACCCGCGAACCGCCGGGCGGGAGGCAGGAGGCTCGCAGGGCTGGATGCCGGAGGGCGAGCGCCTCCAGGATCGTTGCTCCCCTCCCCGCACATCCCCTCGGGATCCCGCCGGAGCGCCGGGCGGGAGGTGAGCCCGACTGGCTCCGCCGGCGGGAGCGGCGAACCGGCGGAGCGGGGC